TTAAAATACAAAAATATTAAAATAAAATAAATTAAATATTCAATATATAACTATGAAAAACATACATTATTTGCAATATTAAAATATACAAAAAAGAAATAAAATAAAAACAAATAAACAAAATTATCGAAAAATAAAAACAATAAAAATATAGAAATTAACAAACACCTATATTGCTAAATAAACCAAGCAAAAAATATATAAATAAATTAAGATATATAATAACATAACTAAATTAAAATCAATATATATATATATATATTCATTATCATAATAATAAAATATCAAATATATCTAATATTAGATTCATTCAACATCACAATAACATAATAATACCTTTACACAATTACATAATCCCAATTTATTAAAACACACATAAATACCAATAACAAAAAAACAAAACACACAAATTCAAAAACATCAAACACAAAATTAAACAAAACAACTCACAAACACAAATCCACTAAAATACAAACTCATACAAATCACACAACCACAAAAAATAACAAAACAAAAATACAAAAAATAATATATAACCCAAGAACCTACACAACCACAAACACACAAAATCATAGAAACACAGAAACGCAAAATCACACAAACGCTTAAAAATAGAAACAAAGAAAAACATTATTACACAACCATACAAAAGCAGAAACACGCAATCACGCAACCACACGACCACACAACCATACAACCACACAACCACACAACCACACAACCACACGACCACACGACCACACGACCGCACCAGAAATCCTGAAATATCGGCGTAACAGAGGCATACGAAACAATTGAGCACGACAATACAACACAAATCCTTGCTCCGTAATACATATGTGCAAAGTTGTAGACCGAACATAGGATCGCAAACGCGCATACCCGTAACGCACACGCCGCAATTACGATGCACACGAGCACGTCAGGCATGGGCTAACATAACGCACCGCTCGCGCGGGACGCATACAAAGCAACAAGAAAAATAATATAATCTGAATATTTCGACCAAAAAGAATATAAACTTTCGAAACTTATAAATCATTTTAGGGTTTGTAACGAAATATTACTCATGTGTCCCCGAAGGGCCTCCCCAAGGAGGGCCTCCCCAGATTTGGTTTTCTTGCATGTTTAATGTTGGTTCAGGTTTTCTGTGTTTTTCATGATGTGTGAGCGTTGTTGGGGGTACTTTGCTCGACTCTAGCTGCAATTGCTCAACTCCGCCAAGTGCAAAGGTAACGGCAAAGATGGGGCCCGCAAATCAGGAGCGAGAAGCCAAACCTGCTGCGATTCCCAAGTGAGGTGGTTTAGATCACCAGTGTAATGTTAAGGGCAGCCCAGTCTCCCAAATCAAGCAAGAATTTCGGAGGGGTTCCAAAATGTAAGAAAATAGGACTGTTTGCTAGCAAGGCCTATTAAAGCTTATTAAGCCTTAATTAGCATTTGTTCATCCACCATGCGAGCAAGGGATCGAAGGAATCGTTTTCCCTCGTTATCCAATCCACCCGTATTTTCCCAAATTAGAGGCTCGTAACCAATGTTTTGAGCCACACATCGACTCCGTAAATCATCATGAGTGCGTTTATGTTCGGCATATTGGTATGCTGCTGCAAGTGATTCCTACGTCGCCACTCCCAACATATGAGATTGGAAAGGAAATACAACCACTATATCCAAGGCCAACCACGGAAAACAACGCCAAGAAGATTAAAGGATTTATGGGGTTCCCATCACCAAAACATGCGCAGGTCTTATCCGGGGATCAGTGGGTAAAAGGTTCACAAGCTCCAACGAGGGTCGCGCGCCAGCCTGCAAGGCTAAAGCAAACATAGCGTTCTTCAAAATGGTGTGAAATATATTATTTGATAATTGTTTTTTATTATATAATTACATATAATACATATTGTTTTGTAAAATTATAATAATTTAATAATTATTATTAAAATATATACATTTTAAAATATATGTTGGTATATCATTAATTTATTTATTTAAATAATAGTTATATTTAAGAATTATATATTAAAAAAGAAAAATAGTTAATAATATAATAAATAAATATATAAATAAATAAGTAAATCAATAAATAAATTAATAAAAAAAAATATCAATAAATCATAAACAAATAAATCTAAAATTAAATCAACCATCATATAACCAAACAAACAAAATCAACCAAATAAATATTAAAATCATATAAATGAATATATCAAAAATAAATACATATAATCATAAATTAAATATATGTTCAAAAAATCAATGTACTATAAATTCAAAATTATTTAAAAAATACAATAATTCAATAATACAAAACCATATAATTATATAATAATATAAAACTATATTCATAAATTCAATAATATAAATATAAAAATTCAAAAACCAAAAAAAACACATATAATTACAACCCCACAACCTCCTCTTTTCTTTATGTTAAAATCCAACTACAACCCGAAAAATACACTATCAATCCAATTTTTCAATCATAACCCACCATAATATAATTTAACCGCTTTAATTATTTAAATATAACCGAAACACAACAACACAATCGGAATTAAAAAAAAAACAATTCGCTATCATCAATTATCAATTTAAATAAAGTGAACAAAATATACAAAAATAATTTCCATAATTCCAAATCAAAAATACAAATCTTGCAAAATCCCTTATAAAACCCTCATAAAATTTTACCTCGAAATCATCCCGAACCATCTCAAAAATTATCTAAACTAAAACCCTCAAATATTCAATCACAAAACCACACAAACACACAACCACACAAATTGATTTTGTATATATACATATATAAACATCAAATAATATAAAAATACATACCAAAAATTAAAGAAAATACAATATATAAACCACACAACCACAAAAAATCCCAATCTCACAAAATCATAAAAATACCAAAACATACAAACACAAAACCACACAACAAACACAACCACACCACCACAACCACAAAACCATAACCACACAAAAACAAAAACACATAAATATAAGTCATAAAAAACACAAACACATCACAAAAAACATACAAACAAACAATCACCGAATCACACAACCATACAAAAACAAAAACACATAAACACACAACCACACAACAACAAAACCATACCGCACAACAACAGAACCACGCAACACACAACCACAAAACCACACAGCCATGCAACCACACAACAACACAACCACACAACAACCCGAAATATCGACACAAACGACAAACAAGGCTGTGGGCCAACGCAACGCGACGCAACGCGTAGAACATCACAAAGCGGCAGATGCGCAAAGCGCGCACCACCCTCACGCGCCGGCGCAAGGCACACGCGCAAGGTGCCAAGGCATTAAACACAACACAATACATCAATTACGCAACGCACATGCCAAAAAAATACAAAATATCGGAAATATTAAAATGTATCGCCAATATGTCGAATTTAAAAACAAAAGAACGGAATTTTATCTACGTCAGAAGTACGTAATTCTAATTTTTTGCTTTGTCGCTTTAGCTATTCAGGTGCAGCCGAGGCCCGACAATACAATCGGGGCCGGGAATCTCCAAATTACCAATCCAATCCACCGCCGCTGGTTTTGCTTTGGCCTTCTTAACTTTATGGAACCCTTGTAGAATCCTATGGATTTGTTTTTCAGCCCGAACCACCCTATAGCCCTTGTAAAACCTGGAATTCTCGTAGAACCTTACCTTAGGGCCACCCCTGACCACCCCAGAGCCTAAGTAAGCTTAAGATTCCAAAGTTTTCAGCTACCAAGGAAATATATATTATACCAATACCATGTTTAATAAATATATATTTCTTAAATATTAAAAAAAACAAAAAAAAAAAAACAAAAAACCATATATATATATATATATATATATAAAATTCAAAATAATTTTCTAACTATGTTCGATATCATTTTAAAGCTTATTAATTCATTTATTGGTTTTCTATATCATTAATAATTTTAAGCAAATTTATCGTTTTCAATATTTATATGTTGGTTAATGATTTTTTATTATTATACTAATTAACATTTTGTATTTAAATCAATTACTCCGTTATATCCATTCATATTAATTATTTCTCCCAAATCCTTATTAATAAGTTTAGATTCAAAATATCCATTTCTCCCTATAATATATTATATATATAATATTTAAATCTATAAATTATCCATATTAATCTAATTTATCCAATAAACTTATTTTTAAAAATAAAATTAACAAAATTTATGTTTAATAATTCATAAATAATTCCATATATGTTGTGTTTTTCAATTAATCAATATCTATTTATATATATATATAGTTCAATCGTTTATTTATTTTATAATATATATTTTATATATGCTATATTATTTAATTATTTGTTTTAAATATCAAATTTTGTGTGTTTTAAATATATTTATATATTTATATTTTATTTATCTATTTTTTTTAAAAAAAAAAAAAAAAAAAAAAAAAAAAAAAAAAAAAAAAAAAAAAAAAAAAAAAAAAAAAAAAAAAAAAGAGAAAACGAGAAAGCGGCAAACACAATAAAACAATAAAGAGGAAAACATAAAAATAAATTTAATGTTATAATTGTTTATATTTAATAGAGTTTATCAATATATATAATACTAATATATATATATATAATATATTTTATTGTAATGCCGGAGAGCACCAAATAAAATATATGTAAAGATAAATCAGGATTGGAGGAAAGGAGGAAAGGAGGAAAGGAGGAAAGGAGGAAAGGAGGAAAGGAGGAAAGGAGGAAAGGAGGAAAGGAGGAAAGGAGGAAAGGAGGAAAGGAGGAAAGGAGGAAAGGAGGAAAGGAGGAAAGGAGGAAAGGAGGAAAGGAGGAAAGGAGCATTTTATATTCCAATTTTGGTTGTTCTTCCATTATTCTTATAAAGATCCAATGATCATTGGGTTATGAAATCAAAATAGATTCAAAACACATTGGAAATTTGCCTGCAACGCCATACCATGTTTTCAATTGCTGGCAAAGAGAAATCCCGGTGCGCAATTCAACGTACATGGCCAGCACCGCTTGTGAGCGGCGAGGTGCCCTTAAGCATGGAGATGGGCATTAGCCGAAGTTTCGACAGCCGATTCGCAGTCCAGTTGGCCAATCTTCCTCTCTGGCTTCTGTCCCATCTCTGGGCACAGGTGACACTTTCCGAAGCACCCTCTGGTCAAGCGGCCACAGGCTCCTTGGGTTTCCACCTGAGGCAAGGGGTGTGTCTCAACGGATTGGAATGAAGAGGCAATTGGATGGTGGCCATCCTCTAAGGCCGCTGCATCTTCTTGACCTCTTCTTTTCTACCCTTGACAGAAACATTTGCCTGATCCCCATCCGTTTTTTCCCGCTGGGCAAAACACGCTCTAAATCTGCAAGTCTTGCACATGAACGCTGGCGGTCTGACATTTCTTGACCAGGACTGCTTCTTTTCATGAACCTGCACATCTGCAACTAGCTGGAAGTCTGATTTCACGTTGCAACTGCCATCCACGCCTCCTCTCCGTTCTTTTCCGCCGCAGGTGGGGGTGGTGGCGGTGGTGCAACCTTGGTCTCACCCTGCAAATCATGGACCAACCCACCACTCTTTGCGTGACATAGTGGTTCACACTGGGCAGCTGGCTCCGTCTTCCGTCATCCACACGCTCCTGCCAGATTTGCAACTGCCTCTTTGCTGGCCGCCAGCGCTGGGGCTCGTGCGGCTCAAAGGGCTTGGCAGTGGATGTGAGCTTGGTGCGGGACTCCACCTGCATCTCAGTCGCTGAGTCGAATCGGTCCAAAGTCATTGCATGTAAACGACCTGAGGGGCATCAGCCGGCTGCCCTGGCGGAGAAGCCACGCCGCTTGCTTGCAGCATGCCACAAGGTGGGCCTTCTTCCACCGGTTTGGGTTTCGGTGGCGGCGGCGGAATCCCAAAACTGGGCACAAAGATCGGAGCATCCTTGGCTCACAATGAGCACAATGCTCCCGCTGCCCTCTCTGCTGGTAGAATTGGGGCTCGGGCCGATTTTAACTTCTGTCTTGCACCTGCAACCTAGGTGTGGCTCGAACGACAAACTTGATGAAGCTACATCAAACAAAAACTCACCACAGGCAATCGCTTGTTCTACTGGTTCGACACACAACTGAGAACATTCGAGCCAGCCTCCGACTCAAGCTCAGGCGCAAATGCACTGTCCTCCGAGGATGCAAGGGCTTCCGCTGCAGCATGCAAGTGGTGTGCGCTCCTTTGGAACTCGAGTCTTTGCTTGGTCGCGCTGCGTCTTCTGGTTCGAGTAGAGGTCCAGAACCTTGCTATTCCCAGCTGCAGAAAAAACACGCCCAAACTCCTCCCTGACTGGCCTTGTCGAGCAGGTCACTGCTTGGACTGTGGCCAGAAGCCTCCATCCTGAGCCAATTGTGGATGCTCGGAAAACAGTGCAACTTCCTGAGTGGCCCGCTTCATGAGGAAGTCACTAGAGGCCTTCAAATCCTTGCCCAGCACGCTTGCCTGCGGCTCTTGCAAACATTCAATTTGAATGCCCCTTGTGTTCCCGAACTGAGTAGGGTATGATGGAGAACCCCAGCCTCAATCATCAGAGAGAAGGTTGCTGAGGAGATATCCACATTGGCAGCTTTCAACTGCTCATACAGGTCCTGGCCACGCGGGCCCTCTCACAACTACTACTAAATGTTCAAAGCCGCTTGGCCTTGGCAACGTCCACCACGACGTCCACGCGCTTGAAAGTCATGCCCCCACGCAACACCATCTGTGCCTGCCGTGCTCCAGTCTGACACACCATGAATGGCCGTGACGAGAAGCAACTCACAACACACACACACACAGACACACACACACACAATGCAACGTGAAAACCGTTGGTAAAGTACCAAAGCACATCTGCCAATGCCAAAACCAAGCCTCGGCATTGGCCCTCTCTGCGTTCGCCTCAGAGATGTTCGGGGCTTGGGCTGCTGGTGCCTAGGCTGAGCCACCGGTCGGGGTGCTAAAAGCCAAACCACGGCCTTCTTGCTAAAGGCGACGTAGTTCAAGAAAGACTCCAAGTTCATCTTCTCCTGGAGGGCGAAAACCCTACCCCTCCCTCGTTTCTTGCCAACCTCACTGACAACCCCAGTTGAGTCACGACCAAACCTGACATTCGAGGAAAAAAATAATGTAAGAACTAAGAGGGTAGCCGCCCCTGCTCCTAGCTGGGACTGTCCCTTTTTCATTTACTTTAGTTTTGATGGCTCACTTCGTGATCTCTCACTTGCGGCGCCTCGGATTCCTTCAACTGCGCTGCGCCCTGTGCAGAGGGCCCATCCGCCATCGCCTGCGGTCGGTTGGCTTGGCTCGTCCCCAGCCTCTGGCTCGGGCCTCGGACTTGGGCTCGGGGGCCGAAGCCTCCTTCTCCTTCTCGCGTTTGGAACTGGCAGAAGCGAGATCGCTCCTCTCCCTTGCAACGTCTTGCAACATCATCGTCATCGTCATCATCATCATCGTCGTCATCATCGTCGTCATCATCGTCATCATCGTCATCATCATCATCATCCTCGTCGTTGTCGTCATTGTCGTCATCATCATCATCTTCATCATCATCGTCGTCGTCGTCATCATAATCATCATCATCATCATCATCATCATCATCATCATCATCATCATCATCATCATCATCATCATCATCATCATCATCATCATCATCATCATCATCATCATCATCAGTGAGCGCTGAGTTCAGCATTGATCCAAATATGGTTCTACAATACTACACGGGGTGCATTGATTTGCTCAGGCCTCCGCTGAGCTTTGTCCGGAGCATCTCGAGGCTTCCTGCTGAGCGGACTTTAAAAGCAAAGCTCCTTAGTCGAGAAAGGATTTGGGTGGCCTTTCTTGGGGGACCCTTTTGGGGTTGGTTTTCCAGTGAAACCAACAGGACGACGAATTCGGTCCCCCAAAAACTCTTCCAAGCCCAAATGTCCCCCCCGACGGGCCGACGGCTGCGTCCTCGACTCCTTCGGCTCCCTGGGCTCCCGCGGCTCCTTCGGCTCCCGCGGCTCCTTGCCGCCTTTGTCCTCAGCTCGGCCACGGCTGAGCTCCGTTTCGGAGTGCACCGCTCCGCTCCCCCCTTTCGCTCCTCCTTTTCGCGGCTCCTTTTTCCTGGGCCAACGCAGATGCAATGCCAGGGTGTGCTCCACCCGCCTTTGCCCTTGCCCTTTTCACCTCCTTGAAAAAGGTGAGGCGCCTGTTCACAGCAACTTGCAGCCTCACTCCCTCACTCCGGTCCCTCCAGTTGCCTGGGTCTGGTCCTTGAGCGTCACTTGCGCTAGCTGCTCTGGTACAGCGGCATCCACCTGAGCGGATGCAGTAGAGCACCGCACGCCTCTCGCCCCTTTGTCACACCTTCGCACTGGGCGCCCCACGTTCCGATACGCCAGAAGCTGCCCTCGGAGCTGCATTCTCTGAGTTTTAGAGTTTCGGCTGAGAAAGCGATGAGCCAAGTGGCCACGCGAGTACTTGTTCTTGTTGCTTGTGGAACTTCCCGTAAACCTTGGGGACATACAAGTTGAGTCTTCAAGTAATATGCTGGGAATTTCCTAGCTATAGCCTAACGACCTCAAGACCCGTTCGTCAAGTTTGATCGTCAAGGTCATTCTGGCATTTGTTTTGCGGGCTTCGGCCCAACTGCCACTGGAAACCGAGCACATGCCGGCCTTCACGCTGCTGGCTCGTCAGCGTCAGCTGGCTGCGCTCGTTTCGCTTGCTGGTGCTAGCCAGCTCTTGGGTTGCTGAAACACCACACATCAGACATTTTCCCATCATGACAGATGCCTTCGATCACTAGACATGCTGTTTGTTCAAGCTCTAGATTGCTTGGGCAGAGTGTTCATGAACCAGGCGTTCCTGAAGCTGTCCATGCACGGCGAAAGGCTTGCAAGGCCGAACAGGTTCGTTCCACAGAAGACGGTCGCTGCGGATGCCTCTCAGCCAAGTTTTAACTTCGGTGAGCTCTTTGCATGTGAGAATAGCTTCATTCGTTAGGCCCAACAGCGTAACATTGCCCTCCCACAATGCACATCGCGATGCCAGGGACCGCACGCCTGCTCTTCCTTTGAAGACTGGAACTTGAAATATATGCAAAAGAGTATGATTGGCAGTACCTGAGAAGCAGATAGATTCTGCCCAATGCCAAGACGAAAGTCAACTATGTTTCTTCGATAACGCAAACCAGGGTGAGGACGATTCGGAGCGTCCAAATGAGCGCAGTAGTAAGTTCCATAGTCTTGAACCTGGCGCAGCTGCTAGGAATTGGACAAATCGCGTGTGCTGCTTGTATATCTCAAAATGTAAGCTGGGCAGATGACAACGACCTTCCCTGAGGATTGCGAAAAGGGGTGTCTTAGATTGGGATGTTGGGTCTCACCTACCAAGACTACCAAGGTGATATTGAGGCCGCGGCGAGTAGTGAGTGGAGGCACCTATGAGGCAAATAGACTCTCGATCCAAACATGTGCATGGTGTGATCCCTGTGCGGGGCACGGTGGGCGAAGAGCGCTGTAACGGCTGAAAGAGTTCGCTCTCAGGTCCTACGAGTTGGCAAGCTTGCGACGTTTGCCAAAGCCCTTCGACACGCCAGCGCGCTCCCGCTCTCCTGCCGCCAAGGTCGAAACCTGGGCGGCACCGGCTGCGCCTGGTGCGAATGATCGCCATATCATGCTCAAGAGGGCTGTAGGAACATCGGTGAGCTCTCTAAGTCCCAAACCTCTCGTCATATTTCTGTGAGAACATCTGCTGCCATCCCGCTCTTTCAGCGGGCAACGTATCCGAGGCCCCCGCCAAGGAGGTCAATAGGCGCGCCCCGAAAGCGAACGGTTTGGGCCGCCCAAAATGCGGCTTGGCGAGCACGTCACACCCAAAACGTCCGCACCTGCTTGACAGAGCTTACCTTAAACTGCTTCTGGAGAGGTGCTACGGTGCTACCCTCCCGGACTCCCAATGACGCAAAGCATGCAGCCTTTCAGTTGTTTTGCTGCTCACGGGATTGGCTAGCGCCACAAATGGGCTCAGCAAGCAAGCTGGCAAAGACTACCACTTTTCAATTGGGTTCTGGCGTCTCATGGAAGGCCTGAGTACGTTGCACAAAGCAGTGAAGAGCCATGTCTTCATGGGTGAAACTTAGATTCTGCCTGGATTGGGTCCAAACAAGCAGGCCAAGTGCCCCACACAACCTTGTCGTTTCTGCGCTTTCGCGCTGCCTGCAAGGCCTGTCACAAGAGCAATCTGAGTTGGCCTGCAGGCAGCCAAATTGACGTGCCAGCCTCTATGTTGCCTGTGGCAGCGATTGGATCGAAGATCTCCAAAGAGTCACGCGCCTTATTCAACTGAGTTCCATCGGATGCGTCAAGAATACTCGCCTTTGACTATGTTCTCTCTTGGGAAAGTATACACATTGCTGGCCTTGTTTTTTTTCCTTTTCCGGTAGTCACTTGAGCAGTGCCCAAAGCCGCCACTTTTGATTCCAAGGTCGCAAAGAAAGCCTTGTTTTTGCCGGGCCAACAGCAACACCGGGCACCCGCTGGGCGCCGTGCCTTCTTCTGCGCGGCAATCTGGAAGGCCTTGAGGAGTCGCACGAACGGTTTTTTTCTTTCCGTTATCCAATGGGGTGTGCAATGTCGAATCTAAAATGGCCCGGAAACTGCTATCTTGTCCCAACTGGTCGGCCGCCGGCGGTACAAGTAGTTTGCAAACAGAGGTTCGGCCGAAACCGATAAACTGTATTTGGGTTTGCCTCAAAATAGGGAAACCCCAAACTTGATGGTGTTCCTTTTGTCTCTCATTCAACCAAGCTCAAAAACCGGCAAAAAAGACGAGGCCCAGACTTTGTCGCCGGAGGTGTGGAACTTGAGCCCAGAGGTGGCCAGCCAGTCCTGGCCAGCAAGGCCTTATCCACGCCTTGAAAGACAACACACAGCGCCAAACAAGCAAACAAGCACACAGACAAACTTTCAAACAAGCGTTCAGACAAACAGACCGACAAACACAGAATATCACGCATGTCTCGGTTCGAAGTGCAGTCGAGTGTTTCGCTCTGCCCCATGCTCAAAACAGCCTGTTTTGCCGAGAGCGGAGAGCCGTTTTGAGGCTCTGGCCGCTCCCATTACACCAGCCGGGCCCAGAACGCTGGTAATAATTATGCAGCATACATGACACAAAACACATGATGCATGATCGTTTCAGAGGTACTGAAATATGTTTTGTCGATTCAAACAAACCGAACAAGCAAATCAAACAAAGAAAGGAACCAAAGCCTCGAGAACGGTCCTTGTCTTCTTCTTCATTTCCGTCTTCCCAGTAGGATGCCAGGGTGGCAGGCTCAGCCTTGCTTGGACAACGATTCGTTTGGCTTAGTGTCCGTGTTTCCGTCCATCGCCTCCTTGTCTTCCTCCGCTGGCTCATCAGGAAGGAGCGTGCGGAGGCGATCCTGAGTCTGTTGCTGAGTTACTGGTGGTTCTGAATCAAGTGCTTTGAATAGGCATGAATGCCAGATATGAAACGACGCGTGTGGGCCACACGATGGCTTCAAGTCGTGCACCATCTGTGTGACTCAAACGGCAACACTCCCCAGTCCTGGTATTGCTTCAAGCCCTCCACCACCGCCTGAGGACACAGTCGAGAATGCCAGGCACACGCCCTCAAGCTCAAGTCCAGGCCTCTGCTTGAATCCTCCTGGCCTCCTTCCCTTTGGGTTCGACCCGTGTCTCTGCGCGTGTCCTAAAGCCTCTTCGCATGGCCTGAGAGGCTGAAATGCAGAGAAGCAGAGAAGCAAAGGCTGCAACCCGTCCCTGCCTCTAGGGCAGAGCCTGGATCCATGCCGTGCCCAAAATGCCATGTGAAAATTCCACAAGGCTCCAGGGGCAAAATGCTCAAAGGGCTGGGCCTGTCTGCTTCCGCGGTTCTGGAGCTGGCAAGCCATTGGCCAAACCAACCTCGGAGGCCATCGGGTGCCACCCCTCCCGAGCTATTCATTAAGACGTTCCCCCTTTTCAGCGCTGCAGTCGCTACAAGGCTGCGGCGATCTCCTTCTTCAACTTCAGAATGGTCTGGCAAGCCGCTGGCAGGCTGGCGGTGAATGTTGGAACAAAGGTGTCGAACAGCGGCCTCCTGTCTCTGGGCTTCCTTGTCTCTCTTTGGAGCCTCCAGCCCAGTGTTCGATTGAAGCCTCAAGCATCCGGCATCCGCACCTTCTCAGGTTGGACTTCATCGGAGTCTGAACCACCGAAGTCCGCCTCTTCCTCGCTCTCGCTCTCCTGGCAACAAGACACGCTGGGCACGTCGGGCACGCTGGACATTTTGGGCTCCGCTTCGGATTGGCGGGTCCTTTCTGGGCTTCTGTACTTTGCCTGCTACTCGTGTCGCAGGCGTTGGCCTTACCAGCGCTGGCAAGAACTCATCTAGAGCAACCATGAAGGGCACCAAAAACTCACTTGACCATTTTTACTTTTGACGACCCTCGGCAGACCCCAGCCTCTTGGATGCCTTGGCATCCTCGTCACGCTTGCCTAACGTGGACTTCACTCTTAGAGCACCTGACTCCGCATCTGATTTGCAGCCAGGATGCTGCCCTCTCTGAGCCGCTTCTTCTCCGCTACCTCCCGCGGGTGATCCATAGAGTCTTTCACTGTCCGCTGACTCGCACCTCTTCTGGGTAGGCCACATCTTTCAAGAGCCGCGGGTCATTAAGGACATCATGCCTAGTGCGTGCCAAAGCCCGAAACATCTGTGGATGTCGCGTCGACGTAATTCACAAAGCAACCACTGAAGCTCTCTCCCTCTCTCTCTCCATCTCTCTCTCTCTCTCTCTATCTCTCTCTCTCTCTATCTCTCTCTCTCTCTCTCTGTCCTTCTGCATCTCTCTCTATTTCTCTTTCCTCATCTTTTGTGCTTGAGCCAAACAATAGCTCGGCTGAGTCAGAGGCGCACTCTTGACTTTCAGATTGCCTTGCAAGCATCCCAAATCTTTGCATGACACAGAATTGCCTGACCACTGGATCTGCCTTGCGGCTTCTTGTCGTCGTCCTCCTCATCCTCTTCATCACTGCCACCGCCCTCAAATGGTGGCCGCAGCAACGAAGTCAGCTATGCATCTTCACTAGGGTCCAGGCAAAGGAAAGGACATTCTTCTTGTGCACCGGCGCACGCCTGCAACGCCGTCTCACTCAGCTCTGTCCTCCACTATGACGACTGGCCTGTGCTCCTCCTTTTCTTTGATCTTCTTCGGCACTCCAACCTTGTACCGCCTCTCAAGCCAGATTGAAAATTCCGTCTTGGCTGGACAAAGAGTGAAGAAACGCGTCATTTTGAGAACACATCTCTGAGTAATGCACGGCTCCAAATCTCCAAATGGATCCCAAACCAGCTCTGCTCGCACTATCCTTGCAAATATGCATTCAATTGCATTCAGAATGTGCTTCAGTCACATGCTGTCCTTGGAGGATCCACCGGAACGTCGAACTTATCTACCTGGCACGTGCCATGACCAAATGCACTAAGCAAGAGGGATCAATCAAACCACGACAGCCTCCACTTCGTTTAGCCGGACGAGGTTGTAGATTGTTTGGCCGACCACCTGAACTCGAGCCAATGCAAGCCAGCGCATATCAAGGGAAGTCATTCACGAACGCACCTTGCCAAACAGCGTGTGCTTGCCATCCAGGGAAGGCAGCCGCCCCATGGCAATGAAGAACTGGCTACCTGGCCAGTCGCGCGGAGAATGAGCCACCTGCAAGAGAACACTGCGGCAGGCGCGCCATTGGTCTTTGTCCCACGACCAGCACTAGCAACACCCAGCATTCCGCGGTACCTGGCAGAACGTCGACATATATACGCCTAGCATTCGAGAGATCGGCGCGCCTGAACTTCAACCGTGGATGTATCTCATCAGGAAATGGATTCCCGTAGATGGACTCACAGCCATCGCCGGTGCCGGTGCCCTGGCCACATGCTTTCCGTGGCTGCGAATGCATCCCCTGGCTTGAGAAACCCGCTGGCCACCAGTCAAACATGGCTCATGCACAGGCAGGGTGTGCCGAGTGAAAGCATGGAGGGAAGGCGTCTCCTCCCTGAATGAGAAAGTCCCGGATCACTCTATGGAAGGCAGTGCCATTGTAGTACCTTCGATTTGCAAAGGCTCAGTTTCCAACCTGGCTCCAACACACACGGTATCTTGGTTCCAGGTCACCCTTCCAAGATGAGCTGGCAGAAGTTTCTGCAGGCCTTGCAAAGTTGCCAAATAGGCCCTTGAGCAAGTCCAATGCCGGTGAGCTCTTCCTGCCTTTGGGGTCTCTGTGGCCCAAATTTCGATCTCCAAGTCACCTTACATAGGGCATTTGTCAAAATTGCCTCGTGCAGCGCAATTGAACGAGCGCCTTGCCATGAGTTGTCTGCAGGACGGCCTTGCCCTTTGTGGCAGGCTCCTCTGAGTGACACTCTGGGAACAGGTCGCAGGTGCAGCTGAAACACGCTCCTTAATGTACACTTCAGACATGGAGCAAGACGGAAGTGCGGTTCCAACGTCCAAACAGCACCTGCTCTTGTCTGGTGCAGCTGAAAGGTGGTCAAATGCTCGAGGCTTCCCATTGTTTGCTCTGGTTCTTATGCGCCATGCCTCCATGGTCAGTTGCCTTCTGGGCTCTCCTGGTTTGTTGCTTGTGTGTTTTTGTTTTATATTTTTCGCCTATCACAAGCCGGGCAAGTCGCAAGGAGGATACATTCGCATGCAGCAGGCTGTTGGGGATGTAAGTGAAACACGGGGTGCAGTTTGGGCAAGCTTGGGCTTCGCTACATGAAGCTACATGTACAAATGCATATTCAGCTGCGGGCATCGCCACAATCAAATGAAACTGCTCCAAGACCAGCAAGGAAGCCCCTGTCAAAGCAATGCCTTGTTTTTCAAACGATGCCTGTCCTCCCACTACTAAGCTACTGAGGGCTCTTCAAGCGCTATCTGCCGGGTGCAGCGGCCCCTTAAAAAACGGTATGCACAAGCCGCTCATCTGTGCCCCGGGAAGGCTGTTTCCTGCCAGCGCCAGGGTGGTGCATGCAGATTCCATGCTTCGCTTTCCTCGACGGGGAACCAGGTGATCATGAAGCGAAGCACCTTAAGAGAAGCAATGCTCTGAGTGACTCCCTGCTGCTCCGTCTGACAACTGACAACACGTTTTCTGCCTTTCTGGGGCAGGCGCAGTCTCCACAATCGTGAGCGGAAGCCTGTAGCCACAGCCGAGTGGCTGCTTCAACCTTTGGCCTAGAAAATGTTGCACACATCCAAGAACCCAGCAGGGTCAGATTGTAGGGGAACGGCAAGCTGAAGTTGTGCCTTGACCGCTTCAGCATTTGACTGCTTCCGTGAGGCATAAGCCAAGCGCTTGAGCTGGAACCAGATGCCGAAAGCAGCCTAGGCAGCTCTGCCAACAGATGGTTAAGGGAAGGAAGACCCGACGACGTGCAAAACAACATTTGGGTTGGCTCAAAATAGGGCTTTGGACCCTCAACATATCAACATGGGCAGTTTCATGTTGGTTTCCTTGTAAACCATCCAAAAACGGCACTCAGCCAGCCCCATTTCTGCAGGCGAGTGTCCAAAGGCATTCCCACCAACTCGTCCAGAATGCTCTTGTCGGGGTCAAACCTAGGGAAACTGGCATAGCCGAGCTCGGTGTGTGGATTTTGGCTGAGGACTTTCGCTTGCAGCAGCGGCCACGGGATGCCCAGGAGAATCCTCAACGAGTGAGCCCAGGTCTAGTTTCGAAGACATTTTGAGCACTGGCCTTGATAGGTGAGCGTGATCACCTCGCTTCCAGTGCTACAAAAGGCGCTTTAGCATATGCAACATTTCATGAGACCTCAGCACCGCACGCCAGTGCCAACCAAGCTCGCACCTTTGCTGCACGCTAGTATCACCCAGCCAGGCACACAAATCCCAAGTTGTCCAGGGAGTCTCGGCATGAAGTAGCGGGCTTTGTGTGTCTTTTGCCGTCTCCCGCGACCGATAGATAGTGCAGCTGAGGTGCCCAAAAGGCCACTCTGCACGGCACTGATGACTTCCTGATTTCACTTCTTCCCAGTTTACACTCTACATGATGGAACCCCGAAAATGGATGGCTTCCATCCATTCAGTTAGCTGAACCCAAACGACTAAAAGTACCCTCAAAAACCAAATCCCCCCATGGCCCTACAAACCCCCACTGCACTGTGAAAGTCCACGTCCTGCAGCTTCCAAGCCAGGTGCACAGCGATCGCCTGCCAGGCGTTCTACACTCGCCGATTTGTGACCCGTAAAGGAAGACCTGCTTGCCAACTTTCTACAGCAGCGAGAATCATAGTGATTCTTCGCACATCAAGATGGCACCACAGCTGTATCCAACGAAACGTTCTACCATAACATGGCACGTGCAAAGGACCACACATGAAAATAGTAATGTAAACAATACGAACAAGAACAAGAAGAAGAAATCATGATCATAATGATCAGCAGCAGCAGCATCGAGCATGCAATGAATGCGCTGCTGTTGTGCAACCGATGTCTTCTGGATATCCGCTCAGTCCTAAGCGGGCCTTCAGAGTCAAGTTGATGATTTGGTTGATCCATTTGTGATAGTCCTGCACATTCCCGATTCGATTCGAAGGAGTCACACAGCATCCAAGCCTTTGGCATCAATGCCACCATGATGGGTGTCACCTGAGCTGTGAATATTTGTCGTAAGTACTGGTCATCTCATGGGTGTGCCCCATGTCATCCCCCCACCGTGGAGTATTGACAGTTGCTCACATGGCAAAAGCAAGGGGAATCACGCACAAAGTAATAGACTTGTCACATGCCAAACATTCCGAGGCTCCGACAATCACAGCCACGGGCTTTCGCAGCAAGTCAGCAATGGAGCAGGCCAGGGCCACCGTCCAGGCCTCAAAAAACAAGATTCTCAGGTCGATGCCACGTGCTGCCAGGTGTGGAAGCTGGGCTTGCAGCGAATTTGAACTTCAATGACACCAACAGCCCTTGGGTGAAAGATTGCCACGTGGGACATATTGGGATATTCATGGGATGCTCACTGGATGACCATCTCACAAGCACCAGCTAGCCAGGTTTGTGTGACTCAAGCTCCCGACCCAAGAAGCCCTGGTAGAGGCCAGCGCACGCCTTCACCACCACATCCGGATCCACTGCTTTCAGGACCACACCGGCCTGTCAAATGCTCTCTTGCCCGAGCCTTGCACCGTTGCCTTCGCCGGCCTTGTGCTTGTAAAACTCCTGCACGCCCACATGACACCCCTTGAGGGTAAAAACAAACTTTGATTGAAATGTATGGTCCGTATGGTCATCTAATTGGATGTAGAGGTCAGATTTGGCTCAAAAGTGTCTCCTTCGGGGTGACCGCGTCAAGATTGATGCCGGCTGCCTGCGGCGACCCCACGCTACCTTCACGCTACACCCCAGCTTAGTCCGCGCCTTGTCATCCTCAAGTGATGCTTGGTTTGCTATCTGAATATTGGTGGCCAAATCCTGGCAAGTTGACGCCCCGGACTGAACCAAAACGGCATCATCGAAGGGAGCAAAGCGATTCCGAGTGCGCCTGCAAGCACAACAGCAGCTTGTCGCCACCGGTGCGTCGGAAGCATTCGATAGCCGCAATGGATGCGCAAAACCTTGGTGGCAAAGACCAAACCTGCATCAACCATTTTGTTTGAGACGTGTCCGGGGATTCCCGCTCTCCGCCGAAGAAGCAGAGTGCACACCTCCGGCAGTCAATGTCTGAGCACCAAGCAAGCAAGAAAACGCAAGCAAAACGAGCGAAGCAAGCAAAGAAAGAAGCAGGCGAAACAAGCGAAGCATGCAAGCGAAGCAAGCAAAGCATGCGAAGCAAGCAAAGCAAGCGTAGCAAGCAAGGGAAGCAAGCGAATCAAGCGAAACATGCACACAAAAAACAGCAACCAGGGCCCCGTCCCGTAGATCACGAGCAGCTCCTGTTTTGGGATGAGCCTGTAGATTTGGTACCTGCATTGTGTGTGTGTGTGTGTCTGCGTGTGGCGCGCGTGCTTGTGTGCAGCTTGATTGGACCTGAACGCCTCTTGAAAGCAGCAAGGGCCGGTCACAAGATGCCGAAGGACCACATGACAATGGGAGCCTGGATCAACAGGGCCTCTTGCTAATCGGTTGCATGGAGGGCTGGGCAGCACACCAGAAATCGCAAGATCACGACCGCAATCTGCAGAAGCCACCCGCTGGTCTGGTCAGGGCTAGGCATTGAAGCTGCTTCCAGAGCTCAACTTGACATTGGGCATAATGGCAAGAGCATTGCTTGCCTCCAGGCACTGCACGCATCGCGGCCTTGTTGTCAAGTGCAAGGGTTGAGGAAAGTGGATGCCACAGCCCAAGGTGCAAACGGGGGCTGCAGAGAGTAGTCGGCCACAAGGCGATTCACCAAGTCTGCCTGACTGCTGAGTCGATCGGATCGATTGGATCGATCGACCATGGCGCCAGCCGCCAGCCTGGCTCTGGCCCTGCAGGGTGCCCTCATGGCCGGCCTCGAGACTCAACAGGGGGACTCCGCTGCCGGTCACCGGTGCCCCCGGTGCCCCCGGTGCCCCCGGTGCCCCCGGTGCCCCCGGTATGGGGCGCGGGACCCGGGACCGGATGTCACCCGGCCTGCCCCGTGGGGCGGCGTTTCAGCAACGGCCGCTGCAGCCTCCGGTAGCACAAGCCAACCGCAGCCCACGGATGCAATCCACTCAAACAAGGATTGCTTCGGTCTGAGCCGCTCAGGGGCGCACTCAGGGTCCATCCTTGCTGCTCCCCTCTCCACCAAGCTCCAGGCGGCAAAAGCCAATGGATCAAAGCCAATACACGCAGAGCAATGCCTTGACTCACCTGCTTCCACACAGCAAGCCTCTTTTGCCGATTGCCATTTCACCCTCTGATCACCTCACTGTGAAACTTGCTTGTCCCGTCTTGGACCTCATATGCATGTACACTGCACAAATAGCTCACGGGACAGTTCTCAGGCGCGACGCACATCAACATTGGAGGCACGTGCAGCGAAAGAGCGATTGGACCGCCTGGGAGCTTGACGTTTGTGCGACTCGATGCACTCGGACCTGACACTGGAGAATCTGTTCCGGGTTCCTCCGGCCTGCGCACCAGCCTCACTCATTGCTGGCCATGCCAACCATTCACTGTACCTCTCAAGGTTGACAAAAACGACACGAAGCGACCAATGCTAAGCAGGCCTTGTCAGCATCTGCCCGTCACCTGGCCAAGGCTGCCACCACGATCGCGGCCTCGCACGGTGTGTTTCTGGGCTCGTGTGTGCCTGTGGCTTTAAAACGCTCTCAGTCTCGCGTTTTGGCAACCTTGCAATCTCGCCGGAAAATCTCGCGTCCACGTATGTTGGAACGGAGATGTTAAACATTTAATTGATGGACATGAACGGGCGTTTGCCATCATGCCTTAGGCGACTCTCCCGCACATTGACCAGCTGGTGCTTGTCAAATGCCAGCCCGTGCCACATGAAATGGAAGATGGCCTCGTGAGTCGCCTCTCGAGTCAGGCGTCAGGAGGGTGTCATGCGAGACTCCAAGTCCGATGACACTCGAACCTTTCGCCTGCAAACAGCCCGCAGGGCGGGGAGGGCTGCTCGACGGCCCAGGACCGCACACAGCAGCAGCGCAGCACTCAGAATGACAAGTCGCAGCGTCAAGCCGAGCGCCACAAGCGCAGAGTCCCAGGAAAGCTCAGTCTGCCATGGCACGAAGGCCCCACCTTTGAGGGATGTTTCTGCGCAGGGAGGGAAATGATAGACAGTGTGAGCCAGCCCGGACTCCGTGTCAGAGAGTGCCTCCGTTTGGCCGTCTTCGATGCAGGAATAGAGCATTGACTGCTCCCTTGTGCACAGGAGGTTGATCGACTTGGCGGCTCCCTGTGTAAATCCAACAGGAGATGCAAGGAATTCACTCAAGAAGCTTCGGATGGCGTCATCGTGAGTGAGTGACGAGTCATGGGCAGCTCCCTGAAGCAGCAAAACTGCCGCGGACCTCAGGTTGGAGGCCTGGAAGGACCGCAGGCAGTGGCCTTCGATGTCCTTGGTGCCATAATCCACGGAGGACCTGGCGACCTGCGCTGCCACAGACCCGTTCTTGGAAAAAAACTCATCGGCGGTGCCAATGATGTTCAGCACCGGGACGCCCTCGCCGCCGCCGCCGGTCTCGCTGCCGCGCTTGGACCCCACGAAGTAGTTCTCCTCGCAGCTCCAGGCGGAGATGATGCGGCCACTCAGCCGGCCCTGCAAGCCAGGGTGCCAGTAGCGCGCGGCCACCATGCCACCCTCGGAGTGCCCCATGAGAAAGAGACGCCCCGTCAAGAAGACAGGAGGATTCTCCATGAGCCAATCCAACTCCCGCTTGCGCAGCAGGTAGATCCGCTCGTAGTACACTTTCCAAGACTCCGGCTCGGACAAGAGATTGTCCACTTTCGTGCTGAAGCACATGGGGAAGCTGCCGCCGCTCTTGTCCCAGCTGCACTTGGACCGGTACGCGGGGTCCGCGGCCCAGTACCTGGCGTCCCTGAGCTTCGCCGGCTCCCGGCGCCGCAAGCGCAGGGACCGGGGGTGGGCCATGGAGTCCGGCGCCAGCACGCCGTAGCCCAGCGCCGCCAACTTGGCGCTGTGGCGCCAGCCCGTGTAGGTGAGGCCCCCGCTGCCGTGCAGCGCCACCACCCACGGCAGCTCGCACTCCGCCACGCACTGTGCGCGCCGGCGGAAGCGGGTGGTGAGGTCGGAGGCGCGCCCGAGCCAATGCACCGCGCCCGCCTGGTCGTTGTCCCCGAAGTTCCCCGGCAGCATACACCTCCTGGCACAAGCACCCGGCAGCGCCACGAAGGCTTGCTCCGTGGCAAACTTCAAGCTGTCAGCAGCCGGAATCACTGGCACTTTCACCAAGCCCACGCCCTCCGGATGCACGTCAAAAGGCTTGTCATTCCAGTCCGTGGCATCGTCAGTAGCCATGGCAAAGCAAATCAATCGATGATTGGTCCAATATTCTTATGCAACAAATGCCAGGCAACCAACCGTGACATCCCATGAAATGAGGTGTAAGAATTTGAAACATGGATGCGCGGCAAGCAAAGAAATGCAACGCCGCTGCACGCTCGGCCCAGAAGCGTGCTGCACAGGCACATGTCAGAAACTCAAGCTTCTCACGTCACAATCGAACCTGGTATTGAGAGAGTCTGCCCAAAAAAGAATCAAAGGGCAACCAACCTATGGCCGGGCCTGTGCCATACCAACCTTCATCTATCCATGTCATGTGTGTGTGTGTGTGTGCGTGAAAGGCCCCGAGTGCTGAGGCATGGCCCCGGCATCTCCCAGTGATCAACCAGCATCAATGGCACAAACATGCATCAACTGGGTATGTGCGACCCCCCCAAAAGTGGAGTCTCGTTGGTTTCTCTACTAAAGTACCCTAAAAAAACACTAAGTGACATCGCGCGGGATTCATGTCACTAGTGCCAGTGCCTAGCAGGATGCCGGCAGAACTTTTGGCCTGGCAGCCAAAGATCTCCGATCAACATGGGACCCAAAGAAAACAACACCGATGTGTGTGTGTGTGTGTGTTCTCTTCTGACAGTAGCCCTTTCTTCGGCGGTTTTAAAGGAATTCCAAGGAAAATAACTTTCTCTTTGTTTTTTTTTGGGGGCCTCTTTTGGGGGGCACGGATTTGTTAGTTCCACGTTCATTTGCAGTGAGGTATGACCCGCAAGGCAGGTTCGGAATCCGCCGGGGTCGCCGTCCTTCAGCTCCACGACTGCTTCCTACAAGGCACCGTCGCAGCGCGAGCGAGCGGACCGCTCAGAGGCTCAGGGCGCCTCGTCTGCGCTCGCCGGGGATCTGAACCTGCCGCTGGGAGAAAGCAAAAAGGTGATGATGCTCGGCTTCTGTGGCACAGCAATGGTTCTGTCAAAGCCTGGGCCTCTTCCAAACCACGGCCAGAGCGTGGGTCACAGGCAGCGCCTTTCCGAGTCACTCTGCCCTCGCCTTTCCCTAGGCCTCTCCCTCCGGTCTGTAAATTTATCACGTCCCGCTCGCCACTCTCGGAAATGACACACGCCTCCAGGCGGTAAAGGGCAGAGCAGCGGTCTCCCTGCTGCAAGCCCAGCTCTATCATGTAGTCAACCTGGCTTTGTAGACTTCAAAGTGCGCTCTCGTGGAGATTCGCAGCTCTCATTTTGCTTGGCTCGATTCTATGCCTGAGTCCATGTGGAACAAACTCAGAGTCAACGTCTTCCCCTATCGGAATTCCGGACATGATAGGCTCATCACAGCATCTCTGCAATTATCACAGGAGCGTTTGTTGCAATCTCAAAGGCCCAGCGTTCCCTTCCTCGCCTCGTAGCCAAAGTCTCGGCCATAGAAGGGAAACCTCCATGTCTCCAAATATTGCAGTCAACTGCCAGTTCGCGTGCCGCTTTTTCCACGAAAACCAAAGCGCATGGCAAAGCTGGAGGCAAAAGTGCAAGCAAGCAGCAGGATTCAAACTCGCAGTTCCAGCTCTTGAGCACTTCACCTCACCTGGTCTCTGAACCTGTCTCAACGTAGCGAACCCGCATCGCCTGGCTCAGGGAAGATCTCACTTCTCGCCTTCTCGCACGCCCCGTTTGCCCCGTTTGCTTGACTCTCGTGCGCCTCGTACTGCGCAAGCAGTTGCCTGCGGCGGACCTGGCATAAATCGTTTCGGCTCGGCCATAGGCTGGTCTGTTCCACGTATCCCCGTATTGTTCGACTCCAAAGGGGGGTTCGGCCCCAAGCTTTCCCTTTTCAGTTTTCCAAAACCGAACCAGGGCCCACATTCCAACCATAGTACGTCACGATATTTGGCCTCCCAGTACGAGATACCGAGCGCACTGGCGCCGCAAGCTGCCAGGCCCTCAACTCTCACATCAAGAGACCGCAGTGGCCTTCAACGCCAAGCTTCCAAGCTTCCAACCCATCTTGCAGCCATCAGGTCGGGCCGTCGGGCCGTCGGGCCGTCGGGCCGTCGGGCCGTTTGGTTCCCCTCAGACCTGTCTGAGAGGCCGCTGACATGATCTGTGGCTTCTGCAATCCAAATGCGGAGTGTTCCCGTCCACTTGTCCCGATGCAACGACCTTCCCATCAGCATTTGTCAATCTGCACTGCAGTGCACCGAGTTCCAAATCCCCTGAAGTTCGATTAGCAAACATTGCGGTACAGGTTGTGGCTTCGGTTTAACACTGTAACTTCAACATGCCTGAAGTTTGTTGTTTGGTGTCAGCTTTTGAAGATGCGAAACAGCTGGCAGGAAACATGCTCGAATATGAGCAAGCATCCGTGAGTCCTCAACACGGCTGTATGTTTGTTGAGTACAAACTCTCAACAGCTCGCTGGCCCACGCATCTCTATTACCAGTCAGCACCTGATCAATGGAGCAGGCATTCGGAATATCATTGAATGCATGAATCCCAAGCGCTGGATCCCTCTTTTGTTCCTCGGAAATCTCCAACTGAATCAGCTTCTCCAGCACAGCTGCATAAATGTTGTTCGACCAGCGCAAGGCGGTCCTGTACCAGTGGAGGGCCTGATGCCTGTCGCGAGTCGCACAGTCCCCAAAGTAGTAGCAGCATGCGACCTCGTAAGCGGAGACCGAAGCGACCATTGCTTTCGTCTCGTTGGCCGCGGACTCTACTGAGCGCATGAAGAACTCCAACGACTGTTGCATCTCCTGTGCGGTCGGCTTTGCTCCGTACCCCACTCGCAGTAAGTCGCCCAGGTAAAACTCCAGGATCGACTTGCTCAAGTTGCTTTGAGAAAGTGCCGCAATGTCATAAACTTCCCAAACGGACTTCTGCGGAACGACTTGCTTCTGCCACTGTGCAAGTGCTGTCAGCGCAATCTCTTTGGCACGCAGCATGCTGCTATGCGTGACGAAGCCCTCTATGACTATAGATAAGTCTGGGTCGTGGACGTCAGCACAAAAAAAGTCCGCATTCACAAGAAAGCCGCCACTGGAGCGGTCTCTATACATTGGATGAAACCAGCCATGACTAACTGGAACCAGAAACCGATCTTGGATCATGAAGCATGCATAACCAAATGTCCACAAGAAGTCAAGCGTGCGGCTCAAGTCAATCGCCGCCTGTCCGTTGGTGTGCTCAAACAGCAAGAACTTCACCTTCTTCGCCATGAGGGTCTCACGGGCTCCCAGCAGAACGTGGCCATCGTGCCCCTCGCTGTCGATTTTGAGGATGAAGACCTGGTCGGAAGGCCGCCAGCCGCAGGTGCCTGACGAGCGGAGGCCGTCCAGGGTGCGCTGCTCCACCTGGAAATGCGGCGCCGCTTCCTGGGGTCTGCGCAAGTGCGACATCCGGTCAGCAGCCACAAAGGCCGCATCACCCGACTCAGATGAAAGCGCCAGGTTCAGGCTGCAGAAGTCGCAGCCGGAGGCGCTGACGTCGCTGAGTTGTTGGAAGGTCGAGGGATTGGGCTCTACCGCGATGACCAGAGACCGCGACTCCTTCGGGCGCAGGGTCGACAATACCTCCATCGCTCGCGTAGCAAACTCACCTGTGTAGGCCCCCACATCAATGACAATGGTGCTGTTACTGGGAGTTCTGGAGGGAAGCAGAAGGTTTCGATCCGCATACCTTAGCTATCATGGAGGCCACTCCCAAAAAACTAGACTTAAATACGATATCCGAAATAGGAAAGCACGGGCATTCGAACTGCTGGTCAGCGCTATGCTACTTTTCATGGCGCAATCGTGCGAGCGCCAGATACGGAAGCAGCAGCTCCGCATCTGTCTTGAAGTTGTTGTACAGAAGTGGAAGACTATATCGGAGGAGGTAAGCAATCCTAAGCTTGGCAGGCTCTGAACAAATGGCTGGCAAAAGTTGGAAGCGCAACCATTGCCGTCTTGCTTTGCAAACGAGGCAATTCTGTGCCCTCACAGGCCAGTCGGGTCCTGGCCAAATTCCCCAATAATCACAACCAAGGCCCTCTGGTGCGGAAACTTGGCAATAGAATGCAGTCAAACACCAGTATCCAAAAGCCGATTTCTCCGCAAGACCTCCACGTGGCTTTGGGGATCACATTTCTTGGTTTCAGAAAACACAAAAACTGTTGCCCTGCAAGTACAAGAGTCTTGTCCCAATTCATGAGGACTGTGGCAGCCGAGCTGCCGGCAAGGCCGAGCCCAGAATGGCAAACGGATGGACATGAGGCTTCCCTCAACATGAGATTCTGGCGTACGAAGCCACCAGCGCCGAAATGATCTCCAGCTCAAGACCATCTAGTGATATACGCTTATTTCTTGCGTAGCAAATGCGGAATTTCCAGGCATTCGGAAAGTGGCATGCTGCATTCACTTGGTGAAACCATTGCACAACCAATAACTCCTAGCGCGTATGTACACGGAAGACCCACAGGCTTGGCAAGCACTGCAAAGTGCGTGAGTGAAGCAACAGGTTTGCGTCGCATTGTCTCCTTTGCCAAGCAAAAGGCCCACGGCAAGCTTGCGCGATTGCACAAGCTTCACCTCAGGCCTGCAGGTCCCTTTCGCTAGCAGCTCGCACAGCTCTGACAGCTGAAGCTCCGCCTCAGGAGGGTCAAAACGAGACTCAAATTTGACTCTGACCCTTGTGGTTCGTTTCTGAAAGAGGAGCCACGTGAATCCTTCAGCATCACAGGGCGGCAGGTTTGAGGCTTTCAATGTCTCTGCTGCGCAGCATGAGATTTGAAGCAAGCACGCGCAGCAAGCTGCCAGCTGAGATGCGCACCACCTGCAGCGATCGGGAGGTCCTTGCCCTCTTCCCCAGGCAGCACTACATCCGGGAGCGTCGCAGCCAAAAGATTGTCAGCCGGAGGCGCCCCAAGCGCGTCCTTGTCTGGAGGCCTCTCCACTGGAAGCCGCTCCGAAACCTTCTCAGTGGGACTTTCATCTTGAGGCTTCCCAACTGTGGGCTTTGCAATCAGAAGCCTCTCAGGCAATCTCTCCTGGCCTGTGTCAAGCAGAACTGGCTGACTTGGTTCACTTTGTGATGTCCCATCCACATCTGCTGACGGTCTTTCATCTAAATCGGCTGGCTGGTCCGTCTTTGACTCCGACGGATCTGGATCCGAAGCTTGACAAAACGAAGCTTCCCCTGTCGTGTTCTCAAGCACTGCTTGCCTTACTTCCGCGTCGGGGCCCGGGTCTCCATCGGTCAGAGGCCCCGCTTCTGCCTCCGCTTCTGCCTCCTGGAGCTCCTCAGCCCCACTCTGCATGGCCTGCATCGCCTCGGCTTCCTCCAGCAGCTCCACAAGCGCACGGCGCCTCGACACAGAAACACAAACACAAACACGGACAGCAGAAGCAAAGCGCAGGGCCAGTAATTCGGAAGTCGAGCTACTCCTGCAAGCCAAAACATGGCCCGACATGGCACATCTGAATCATGACTTGTCAAATGGCACGAGTGCTGCTCCGCCAACACTCAAAGGCTCTTGGAGTCTGGCTATCTGCAAAGTCTGCTGGGACTGCCACCTCCTGCAAATCAAATCAGCTGCGCTTTGCTCAAGTGAAAGATCCGACCATCGCTGGACATCGTCACAGCCTCAGACTCACCTTCGCCGTCTTGGCCTGGGTTGCCCTCGCCGGCCTGGCCAACTGCAGCACTGACAACTTGCTAAGGGCCAGCTGACAAGTCAAGCTCATGCCATTTCCTACCTCTGCGCCAAGCTCTGGCAGATGCAAAGCAGCCAAGTCCTGGCACGTGTGAGTTGGGCTTGTGTATCACCTCCAAAACCATGCGCTGTGGATCTTTGTAGTTGATGGCTGATGCTGGCTGACGCTCAAATGACGAGAACAGCCACGCCTCACGAGTGGAGCCGAGCGCAAGGGTGCAATCCTGGCTGCAGTCTGAACGCAAGCAGCGGGTGCCGGCACTAGGCGCCACACACTCAAGGCTTCGTCTGGCAGCTCTTCTGGGATGTCCTGTAGGCATGCCCAAAAGGAATGGCAAAACCAAATGGGATGCATTATCCTCGTGATCCTTCAAGCCCTTCGCGTTCTCCAGCACCTGCACGCGAAAATGATGCGTGTTCGCACATCCCCCCCCCAGTCCCACCTTCTGAGTTGCTGCCCAAGAAGGCAATGAGGCTCCTCCAAAGTCAAGAGCTGGCGCCTGAAGCAGTCACATGTTCAATTCATCACGGATGTGGTTGGCATCAGTCACAAGAACATGTGAACACATGGCCGCCTTGGACGGTATCCTCTCGCCGGTCGGCCGGATGGCAAAGACCTCGCACCCCCGACCGGTGACCAGCCGCTTGCCACAGCAGTGAAGCTCTGGCCTCCCCGCCAATCCCTTTGATCTCCACCGTGGCCTCCTCCCACTGGCGCCTTCGAAATTGGCAGAGGGAGGGCCCTCCATCTGCGCTTGGTGCCCGCACCACGCGCCACTGCCGCGAGAGCGGCCTGCCATTGGGATCCACAGAAAAGCAAGGAGGACGGCAGGTCGCGCCTTTGGACGACCGGCTCCTAGCTGGAAGGCCTTGGATCATCAGAGAGACCAAGTGATTTGTCGGAGACAATCCTGTCGCTGGGATCCAGGCCACTGCCTTTGCCAGAATTCGCTCCGGAGAAGCAAACACTGAAGCCTTGCTCTCGCCTGCGCCAAGGGCTTTCGAATCATCCAGGCGCGGAGCTGCGCCTGAGCTGCTCTTGAATCCTCTCGTCCTTTTCTCGTTGCTGTCGAAAGGCTTGATTGCGCTCCTGCACGCAGAAAGACAAACTCTGCTAACATTGCGCAATTGTCATCGCAATGGTGGCCTGCAATTTCTGCAGATAAGCCCTATGCTGCACGCCGTGGCTCGCAGCAAATCCTTGGCTTCGCAAAATGATTGTTGGACAATTGCTAGCTAGGGTGGCATCATTGTGGCCACTGATGTTCAGAGCTTTAAGAGCAGGCGGCAAACCACCCCGGTATCAAAAGCTAATCATGATTGAGTGCAAGCAAAAATCGTGCATCGGATATTGGCCGCCCTGAGACGGGCAAGTTCTGCAAAGGCGGCATGAGTCTGCAACACAGCGGCGTGCAGGTCGTCATAACACCTTTCCGTGCTGTTCTTACGGTAAGAATGAAATGCCCCTTATCTTGGGGAACCACAAAGAAGAAACAACCTTACGCTCACAAGCAGATTCGCTTGTGGATCCAGTGGGTCCAAAAGAAAAGTTTAATGATCCTTCCCAGAGGTCATGCAACGCTGAAATGTGAGTGATCATGGCAAGCATCTCTCAATGGCTGATGTGCTACATCAAAAAGTGTCTCTCCGCCCATGCACCAAGCGAAGGCGTCGCCGCATTTTGTCTCAGTTCACATGGTCAAACCTACTAGATTCTGTCAGATTGACCCCCACTCGCCTAGCAAGCAAGGATGCATCCTTTCCAACATTGAGTTGGGTTGGCACCAGCATCTATTCTACGCTTTCTGCATCACTGATTCCTTCAAAAGGACGATGGCTTCACAGCGTCCAGCTGGTCCAGCACCACATCAAAGGATGCGCACTCAGATGGCGGGGGGCAGGTGGGACCTGAGCGTCAACGGTCCTCTTGGCAACACCACTAGTAATGCTGCGCAGCAAGCAGTGTCGAATGGCTGTTCAAGCAAAAACCAGGCTGAGCAGAGGCTGCAAAATGTGGACAAGCTGCTAGCACAACACTCGCAGCTACTCATGCCGCTTGCTCCAGCAAACAAGAGCATTATTCTTAAGTATCACCCACAAACCACGGCAGAACGCAAACATATCCCTCGCTCGCCTTCCGCATTGTGGGATGCCCGACCCTTGCGAGGAAAGACTTCCTGGGCTGCGTGATGGCGCAAAGCTGCACATCACTGTGTTGCCAGCAGGAATCAACACTATTTAGAGTCTGTGCGAGGTTAGAGACATGAACGTGGTGGCAGTTCAGCCAGCAAAACATGTGCACCCAGCGTATCTCCAGCCTTCGCCCTGCGCTCCCACGAGGAACATAGATGTTAGCTTTACACTGCGATTCTTAGCGGTTTAAGTCGAGCAGCTTCAGCATATGTCCATGACGTCTCGATTGCCCGCTGCCCGCCCAGAAACAACCGCGACAAACAAGTTTGCACGTGGGCTAGGCTACTAGGGGACCCATACTAGCGCCGCAGCGCGGATGAACTTCTCAACATGAAAGTCCATTTGTTTCAACAAAGGAAGGTTCGGACTCAAAGGCCGCCAACAAACCATTTGCGAAGCTGAGGAAACCAAATAACAAATTACAGCTGACGGGTCGCTTGAGCACAACGGTGAGGACGCCATTCTCAAGATCCCCCTCATCCTCGCACAGCTCAAAGCGACCATCGGAATGGTCGAAGAGGAATTCTTGCTCCCACACTCCATGGTGCTGCCTGCAGATTCAACTCCAAGCGCTTTCTGTTGGAAGCGCTGATGCTTCAGCACTTGCCGCCACTTGCACTGAATCTTGGAAGCTGTAGAAGTCATTGTGTGCGCCCTTTCCTTTGCTTGCTGGTCCTTCTCTCCAACTAGGGCGCGCAAGCGTTTCACTTCGTGTTGCAGGCAAGTTGGTCGCATGAGTCCAATCGCATTTCCGGGTAAACAGACCTCCACGGATATCTCGCAGGGCCATCCCGCGGCATGCTGTTGAATCGAAGGAGCACCGCTTGGGGCGTGCAATTGAACCAGACTGGCACTGGAATGGCAAACCTAGTGGCATGGAAAGGAAGCGAGCAGTTCCAAAACACAAGGCAACATACTCATCAAACGCTCAGGTGTGTCGACAACGACAAACATCAAAGTGTGAGCACTGTCCATTTGCCAAAGAAGCAGAAGTCTGCATCCTCCCCGAGCAGGGCTGAGAAAATAAACAAAGTTTGCAAGGTCTAGCAACGCGATACACGTGAAGCAATCCGCAAAAGGACAGAATGTTCGCGCTCATAGCAGCCGCTCTTTGGCTTCGTGTTGGCTCATGTCAAAATGATCGAATCTACTAGATTCGCATGGCCTCTAAACGATTTGCGCCTTGCCTGTTTGCATTTGAACCTACCAGGTTCAAACGCATCAGATGCAAGGGGAACGCTGCAACCTGCCTAAAGCAATCGAAATCCCAGCCCACATGAAGCTTGGCTTGAACCAGCAAATCTCCCTAGAAGCAATTCAATTGACGCTTTCCACCTCTTGGTCAACCAAGGTCTCACATCTTCACAGCAGCTGTCTCCAGCACCACGTCAAAGGAGGCGCAGTCGGACAGCGGGGCAGGCGTGGGCCGACCTGCCGCGACAGACGACGAAAAGTGCGGCAAGCGGCGCAACGTGACATTGGATGTAGCAGATACGTCAAACAATTGCTTACGACAAGCATGACACTGCATGCCGACATCGCCGACCCAGTCACACACATTTCTCTCCCCAAGCCTTCTGTGCTGTGGAATGATCGAGTCCGCGCTTTTCCTTGAAGCCGACCCTTGCGGGGCTGGAAAGATTTCCTCGGCTGCACGACGCCGACCTTAACCCCACACTGGAGCTTGCGATTGGTCTGCGGCCTGCGACAATATCTCCACCACTCCATCCTACAAAAGCTGAACAAAATCATGGCGCAAACTTTTTACTGCGACCTTTAGGCGGGCAGCTGGAGAAGAACTTCTGTCCATGACAGAGTCTCAATCACTATCCATCCAGCAACAACCACAACTAAAACGATTTGACTGGCCTTGCTGCGGAGCCAGGACTGTCAGAGACCCATACTATGTTTCTTAGCAACAAACTCTCCGATACAGGGCCGCGAGCAAAACAAGCCCTCCAGGTATTTCTGAAGGTTGGTCAAGCCACTTGAGCACAACGGTGAGGACGCCATTTTCAAGATCCGCCTCGTCCTCACACAGCTCAAAGCGACCATCGGAATGGTCGAAGAGGAACTCTCGCTCCCATACTCCATGGTGCTGCCTGCAGATTCAAGCACAGCTGGCCTTTAAGGCAACTCAACCAATACACTGATCAGTTGGTTACAATGCTGCAGTTTGACAAGCCTGATAGGCTGAACTGGCTGAACAGAGTGCTCTTCAATGGGTGGCTTTTTGTTGATGCTGATCTTCACTCCATTTGGCAGCTCTTCCCACTCAACATCATCCTCCACAACACCAGGACATTCAACGCGGATGAAGCGCTTGACACCCGTGTTGATGGCTCTGTCAAAGACATTCACAATGGGATCAAAGCTCACATCATGGGCGATGATCTCTCCCAACGGTGAGATGACACCACGCGTCTTGGTGGAAAGGCGTGCCTTTTCCTGTGGGAGATGTACGCAAATCTTGCCCAATGTAGCATAAGCATCGCTTCGCGCGTCTGCGTCTGTCTGTTGTGGCACAAACTTCACAAGCGGCATGGGCCCAGGGCTGACCGATGTTTCCGGCTCAGTGGTTTCAACGTTGACAAACTTGGGCAAAAGCCGTGATAGCTCAGCACAAAGCAAGTCAGCAAGAACGATGTTGGAGCCAAGTTTGTTGCCGTGTTCCAAACTCTGAAGCAGGTAGTCCCGATTCCTGGCATTGAACTCATCGCCCGCTGCAGAGAATTCATAACAAACCCCCACATGATGCACTGGAGGAGCTCCTTCTCCAGAATCGGCTGTAAAGATCAGCTGCCCCAAATGCGACGGTTCTCCGTCGTAGCACTGCGTCACCTGCCTTCGGAAGAGCTGCTTGGCTTCCTGCACATCTGTGGTAGTCCGCAAGTTGTGCACCACAATCAGCTCCTTGTGCTGCTTGCATTGAATGTACTTTTGGTGAAGCATGGCCACGTACTTCTGCTCAAACCAGGTGAGATCATTCACAACAAACACCATATGATGGGCAACACGGGAGATCATTTCAAACATCAGGGATTCCGATGTCTGGGCATCGTGAATTGCATCCACGGCTTGCGCTCGGTAGGATACTGTGGACTGAACTCCAGCAGAATCCAGCACCAGCATGCGTCTCTCTTTGATCCAAAGAAAGCTTAACCCTTTGGTGGTGCAAAGCTTTCCTGAAGGCAGATTCACCCCAAACAACTTGTTGGTCAGCCAAGTCTTGCCCTTGTCGAACAGCCCAACCACGGCAACGATTCGATACCTGCTTTCCTTGGCGACCTCAAGCTGCGACTGGGCTTTCTGCAAGAACTTGATCTCGCCGCTCGACAGAAACTCTGCAAGAGAATCGAACGCCAAAACCGCATCATAGGGTGTGGTCTCGACTGCCTTGTCATGGTCTAGCTGCCATCGACGTTCTCGTCGCTTCTGACGCAAGCGCCAGAGTTGTTGAAGGGAAGAGATTGCAGTCACAAGCCGCTCACGTTTGTTCCTTCGGTCTTGCTCCAAGCGCTTCCGTTGCAAGCGCTGATGCGTCAGCACTCGCCGCCACTTGGACTGAATTTTGGAAGCTGCGGAAGTCATTGTGTGTGCCAATTCCTTTGCTTGCTGGTCCTTCTCTCCAACTAGGGCGCGCAAGCGCTTCACTTCGTATTGCAGGCAAGTTGCTCGTTCTTGGTCGCATGAGTCCAATCGCATTTCCGGGTAAACAGACCTCCACGGATATCTTGCAGGGCCATCCCGCGGCATGCTGTTGAATCGAAGGAGCACCGCTTGGGGCGTGCAATTGAACCAGACTGGCACTGGAATGGCAAACCTAGTGGCATGGAAAGGAAGCGAGCAGTTCCAAACCACAAGGCAACATACTCATCAAACGCTCAGGTGTGTCGACAACGACTAACATCAAAGTGTGAGCACCGTCCATTTGCCAAAGAAGCAGAAGTCTGCATCCTCCCTGGCATGCGCAGCGAGCAGGGCTGAGAAAATAAACAAAGTTTGCAAGGTCTAGCAACGCGATACACGTGAAGCAATCCGCAAAAGGACAGAATGTTCGCGCTCATAGCAGCCGCTCTTTGGCTGTGTTTTGGCTCATGCCAAAATGATCGAATCTACTAGATTCGCATGGCCTCTAAACGGTTTGCGCCTTGCCTTTTTGCATTTGAACCTACCAGGTTCAAACGCATCAGACGCAAGGGGAACGCTGCAACCTGCCTAAAGCAATCGAAACCCTAGCCCACATGAAGCTCGGCTTGAACCAGCAAATCTCCCTAGAAGCAATTCAATTGACGCTTTCCACCTCTTGGTCAACCAAGGTCTCACATCTTCACAGCAGCTGTCTCCAGCACCACGTCAAAGGAGGCGCAGTCGGACAGCGGGGCAGGCGTGGGCTGACCTGCCGCGACAGACGACGAAAAGTGCGGCAAGCGGCGCAAAGTGACATTGGATGTAGCAGATACGTCAAACAATTGCTTACGACAAGCATGACACTGCATGCCGACATCGCCGACCCAGTCACACACATTTCTCTCCCCAAGCCTTCTGTGCTGTGGAATGATCGAGCCCGCGCTTTTCCTTGAAGCCGACCCTTGCGGGGCTGGAAAGCTTTCCTTGGCTGCACTGGAGCTTGGGATTGGTCTGCGCCTGGCCTGCGACAATATCTCCACCACTCCATCCTACAAAAGCTGAACAAAATCATGGCGCAAACTTTTTACAGCGACCTTTAGGCGGGCAGCTGGAGAAGAACTTCTGTCCATGACAGAGTCTCAATCACTATCCATCCAGCAACAACCACAACTAAAAAGATTTGACTGGCCTTGCTGAGGAGCCAGGACTGTCAGAGACCCATACTATGTTTCTTATCAACAACAAAGTCCGAATTCGACACAGGGTGGCTTGAACTCAAAGACCGTGAGCAAAACAAGCCCTCCAGGTATTTCTGAAGGTTGGTCAAGCCACTTGAGCACAACGGTGAGGACACCATTTTCAAGATCCGCCTCGTCCTCACACAGATCAAAGCGACCATCGGAATGGTCGAAGAGGAATTCTCGCTCCCATACTCCATGGTGCTGCCTGCAGATTCAAGCACAGCAGGTGAACGTCAACCCTTTAAGGCAACTCAACCAATACACTGATGAGTTGGTTACAATGCTGCAGTTTGACAAGAGCGCCTGATAGGCTGAACTGGCTGAACAGAGTGCTCTTCAATGGGTGGCTTTTTGTTGATGCTGATCTTCACTCCATTTGGCAGCTCTTCCCACTCAACATCATCCTCCACAACACCAGGACATTCAACGCGGATGAAGCGCTTGACACCCGTGTTGATGGCTCTGTCAAAGACATTCACAATGGGATCAAAGCTCACATCATGGGCGATGATCTCTCCCAACGGTGAGATGACACCACGCGTCTTGGTGGAAAGGCGTGCCTTTTCCTGTGGGAGATGTACGCAAATCTTGCCCAATGTAGCATAAGCATCGCTTCGTGCGTCTGCGTCTGTCTTTTGTGGCACAAACTTCACAAGCGGCATGGGTCCAGGGCTGACCGACGTTTCCGGCTCAGCGGTTTCAACGTTGACAAACTTGGGCAAAAGCCGTGATAGCTCAGCACAAAGCAAGTCAGCAAGAACGATGTTGGAGCCAAGTTTGTTGCCGTGTTCCAAACTCTGAAGCAGGTAGTCCCGATTCCTGGCATTGAACTCATCGCCCGCTGCAGAGAATTCATAACAAACCCCCACATGATGCACTGGAGGAGCTCCTTCTCCAGAATCGGCTGTAAAGATCAGCTGCCCCAAATGCGACGGTTCTCCGTCGTAGCACTGCGTCACCTGCCTTCGGAAGAGCTGCTTGGCTTCCTGCACATCTGTGGTAGTCCGCAAGTTGTGCACCACAATCAGCTCCTTGTGCTGCTTGCATTGAATGTACTTTTGGTGAAGCATGGCCACGTACTTCTGCTCAAACCAGGTGAGATCATTCACAACAAACACCATATGATGGGCAACACGGGAGATCATTTCAAACATCAGGGATTCCGATGTCTGGGCATCGTGAATTGCATCCACGGCTTGCGCTCGGTAGGATACTGTGGACTGAACTCCAGCAGAATCCAGCACCAGCATGCGTCTCTCTTTGATCCAAAGAAAACTTAACCCTTTGGTGGTGCAAAGCTTTCCTGAAGGCAGATTCACCCCGAACAACTTGTTGGTCAGCCAAGTCTTGCCCTTGTCGAACAGCCCAACCACGGCAACGATTCGATACCTGCGTTCCTTGGCAACCTCAAGCTGTGACCGGGCTTTCTGCAAGAATTTGATCTCGCCACTCGACAGAAACTCTGCAAGAGAATCGAACGCCAAGACCGCATCATAGGGTGTGGTCTCGACTGCCTTGTCATGGTCTAGCTGCCATCGACGTTCTCGTCGCTTCTGACGCAAGCGCCAGAGTTGTTGAAGGGAAGAGATTGCAGTCACCAGCCGCTCAAGTTTGTTCCTTCGGTCTTGCTCTAAGCGCTTCCGTTGCAAGCGCTGATGCGTCAGCACTCGCCGCCACTTGGACTGAATTTTGGAAGCTGCAGAACCCATGATGTCCTTTTGTTCATGATCTCCAACCAGGGCACGCAAGCGATTGACCTCATTCTGCAGGACCTCAATCTGTGATTGGGACATCAATCGATCAATCGGAACCTAATCAATCGATCAATCGGAACCTAAGGTTGCATTTGGGCGGGATCGCGGTCTGGAGCCAAATTTGCGGCATGACGAGATGGCTGCTCTCTTTCAAACTGCAGCCAAATCCAAAGCGCATGATTTGCATGCCTGGTGGCAACATGATACACGTAATCAGCAAAAGGACAGAATGATCACCCTCATAGCAGCCGCTCTTTGGCTTCGTGTTGGCTCATGTCAAAATATTTGAATCTACTAGATTCGCATGGCCTCTAAACGATTTGCGCCTTGCCTGTTTGCATTTGAACCTACCAGGTTCAAACGCATCAGACGCAAGGGGAACGCTGCAACCTGCCTAAAGCAATCAAAACCCTAGCCCACATGAAGCTCGGCTTGAACCAGCAAGTCTCCCTGGAAGCAATTCAATTGCCGCCTTCCACCTCTTGGTCAACCAAGGTCTGACATCTTCACAGCAGCTGTCTCCAGCACCACGTCAAAGGAGGCGCAGTCGGACGGCGGGGCAGGCGTGGGCTGACCTGCCGCGACAGACGACGAAAAGTGCGGCAAGCGGCGCAAAGTGACATTGGATGTAGCAGATACGTCAAACAATTGCTTACGACAAGCATGACACTGCATGCCGACATCGCCGACTGGACAAAGCGCGAGACATAGCTATCGTGTCCAAAAAGATATCACGCGAGACTGTCAAACAAACTTCTCACCCCAAGCCTTCTGTGATACGCAATGCTCGCGACCGTGCTTTCCCTTGAAGCCGACCCTTGCGAGGCTGGAAAGATTTCCTCGGCTGCACCACATCAAGCCGTTCAGCCACACTAGAGCTTGCGATTGGTCTGCGCCTGGCCTATGACAATATCTCCACCACTCCTACGAAAGCTCAAGTGTGTTTGTGAGTCTGAAAGCTTTGGGGCACATTGTAACAAACGATTTGGTAGAGGGGATACTTTATGTCCTCTCCCCAAAATGCTGCAGAGTTTTCCTGCTCGAGTCACTTGAGCACAACGGTGAGGACGCCGTTTTCAAGATCCGCCTCTTCCTCGCACAGCTCAAAGCGACCGTCAGCATGATCGAAGAGGAACTCCCGCTCCCATACTCCATGATGTTGCCTGTGTGTCACAGTCTCCAGCGAGTTTCAAACAGCTCATCAACAGATTGCAAAAAACACAACACCCAGGTACTCAGGTTGTTTTAACATCGCTGATTGACATGCTGAAACCGCAAGATCGCCTGATAGGCTGAACTGGCTGAACAGAGTGCTCTTCAATGGGTGGCTTTTTGTTAATGCTGATCTTCACTCCATTTGGCAGCTCTTCCCACTCAACGTCATCCTCCACAACACCAGGACATTCAACGCGGATGAAGCGCTTGACACCCGTGTTGATGGCTCTGTCAAAGACATTCACAATGGGATCAAAGCTCACATCATGGGCAATGATCTCTCCCAACGGCGAGATGACACCACGCGTCTTGGTGGAAAGGCGTGCATTTTTCTGTGGAAGGTGTATGCAGATCTTGCCGCAAGAAGCATAGGCATCGCCCCGTGCATCGGCATCAGAAGTTTCAGGTACAAAGTTCACAAGCGGCATGGGCCCAGGGCTGACCGACGTTTCCGGCTCAGTTGTTTCAACGTTGACAAACTTGGGCAAAAGCCGTGATAGCTCAGCACAAAGCAAGTCAGCAAGAACGATGTTGGAGCCAAGCTTGTTGCCGTGTTCCAAACTCTGAAGCAGGTAGTCCCGATTCCTGGCATTGAACTCATCGCCCGCTGCAGAGAATTCATAACAAACCCCCACATGATGCACTGGAGGAGCTCCTTCTCCAGAATCGGCTGTAAAGATCAGCTGCCCCAAATGCGACGGTTCTCCGTCGTAGCACTGCGTCACCTGCCTTCGGAAGAGCTGCTTGGCTTCCTGCACATTTGTGGTGTTCCGCAAGTTGTGCACCACAATCAGCTCCTTGTGCTGCTTGCATTGAATGTACTTTTGGTGAAGCATGGCCACGTACTTCTGCTCAAACCAGGTGAGATCATTCACAACAAACACCATATGATGGGCAACACGGGAGATCATTTCAAACATCAGGGATTCCGATGTCTGGGCATCGTGAATTGCATCCACGGCTTGCGCTCGGTAGGATACTGTGGACTGAACTCCAGCAGAATCCACCACCAGCATGCGTCTCTCTTTGATCCAAAGAAAACTTAAACCTTTGGTGGTGCAAAGCTTTCCTGAAGGCAGATTCACCCCGAACAACTTGTTGGTCAGCCAAGTCTTGCCCTTGTCGAACAGCCCAACCACGGCAACGATGCGATGCCTGCATTCCTTGGCAACTTCAAGCTGCGACTCGGCTTTCTGCAAGAACTCGATCTCGCCACTCGACAGAAACTCTGCAAGAGAATCGAACGCCAAGACCGCATCATAGGGTGTGGTCTCGACTACCCTGTCATGGTCTCGCTGCCATCGACGCTCTCGTCGCTTCTGACGCAAGCGCCAGAGCTGTTGAAGGGAAGATATTGCACTCACGAGCCTTTCACGTTTGGTCCTTCGGTCTTGCTCGGCGCTTTCTCGTTGAAAGCACTGACATGAGAAGACTTGCCGCCACTTGGATTGAATCTTGGAAGCTGCAGCATGCATGGTGTCTGTCCTTTCTTTCGCTTGCTGCTCCTTCTCTCGCAATAGGGCACGCAAGCGCTTCACTTCGTATTGTAGGCAAATTGCCTGTTCTTGGTCACATGAGTTCCACGGCATTTCTTGAAAACACGGACCTCCTCCTGCTCCCGGTGTATCTCGGAAGGCCAGTGCGTGTGTGTGTGTGTGTGTTGTTGGCAGTTTGCCTTTGATCCAAAAACGGCTGCATGTAGGCAGGCCCGCATCTGCAATTGTTCTAAACTGGCGCCAAAATGGTAGAACGGCAGGCAAACTTTCCAAGTGCCTCACAAACACAAACACTAAAACGCAAACAGCATACACATCAATCAATGCCAGAACTGCTCGCTATTTTTACTCCCCACCACCACCACCACCACCGGCCCCACTCCTACCGCCACTGCCACCACCGCCACTACTACTACGACGACTACTACTACTACCACTACTACTGCTTCTACTATTACCACCACGACTTGCTAGCACTATTACCACCACTACCCCAACTACCACTACTACAACTACTAGTACCACTGCTACAACTACTAGTACTACTATTGCTGCTACTACTACTACTACTACTTCTACTTACTACTACTACTACTACTACTTCTACTACTACTACTACTACTACTACTACTACTACTACTACTACTACTTCTACTACTACTACTACTACTACTACTACTACTACTACTACTACTACTACTACTACTACTACTACTACTACTACTACTACTACTACTACTACTACTACTACTACTACTCCTGCTACTACTACTACTACTACTACCACTACTATCGCTGCTACTACCAGCAGAGCCGGCAAAGCCGGCAGGCGGACTTCCCCGAAGCACAAAAAAACATACAGCTTTTTTCTTTCTTTTCTATAAATTTCTCCTTTTCTTTTTTTCCACTGCGTCTCTTCTCTCTGTGTTTGTTCTACCTGTTTGTCTTTCTGCTTTCTCGAACTGTGTTCTGTCTATTTACATGTCTGCCTACCTGTCTATCTTCTCGCTACCTACCTGTCCGTGCGCGTGATCTGACCTGATTATCAATCTAGCAGATCTGCTCGCTCTTTCTCTCTCTCTCTCTCTCTCTCTCTCTCTCTCTCTCTCTCTCTCTCTCTCTCTTCTTGCTCTCTCTCTGTCTCTTTTCCTACTCTACTTATCTCCCGTCTCTCCATCTATCTGTTTATCTGTCTATCAATCTATCTATCTATCAGTATATATATATACATATATCCGCCGACAACAGGCGGCGTTGCACATAAGAATTGCTCCGCGCCTCCTTACCTGTTCCCCCTCCTCCTGAAAAAATGTAGCAAGGGGGCTGGCTGAGGGCTAAAGGTCAACTGTTGCGGGCTTTCCTTGAGTAATTGTTCATCAACAATTTAACAGTCTTATTCGTTTTCGTCATCCGTGATTCCAGCCATGTTTCATGTTGTGGGTTTCTAGGGCGTTGTTTGTTTTCGTTTTGAAAGAGGATAGAACTTTTAGTAGTTTCATGGGGCGTTGGCGGTTCGTTTGTTTTCCCTGTTCTTTGTTTATGTCAGATTCAAAATCTGACGAGGTTTCAATGTGTTTTCGTATCTCTTCCTGCGCTGTTTGCTGATTGAATTTTTTGCTGTTTCTTCAATCTTCTGTGGTTTTTGATTCTTAACATTATTTATGTGTTTTTGGTTCTTTCGTGCTTTGCTTTCCAACTAAGCGAGACCATACACCTACACTACTGACATTCATTGTTTGTTGCCTGTCTTCTTTAGCGCATTCTCTCTTGCGTTCTTTATTCTTTTCATGGTGTTTTCCAAGTCAGCGTGTTTGTTTTTATTGTTGTAATAATTTGTGTGTCTTTGTCTTATACAATCATTACAGTGTTTTCTATTCCCGAAAGCATGGCGAAGGGTTCTTCCGTTGGATTCACGGGAGTCATTGCAAAGAGGTATCATCATCAGAGTCATCAGAGTGATTGCGCAGAGTCATCATCATCATGAGAGTCATTGCAAAGAGTTATCATCATTGCACAGAGTTATCATCATCAGAGTCGTTGCGCTGAGTCATCATCATCAGAATCATTGCAAAGAGTCATCATCGTCAGAGTCATTGCACAGAGTCATCATGACAGCCACTGCGTAGGGTCATCGCACAAGAGTCATTCAACGGAGTCATCACGGGAGTGATCGCGCAGAGTCATCATGAGAGTCATTGCCCAGAATCATCATGAGAGTCCTTGCACAGAATCATCATCAGAATCATTGCGCAGAGTCATCATCATCATGAAAGTCATTGCAAAGAGTTATCATCATTGCACAGAGTTATCATCATCAGAGCCATTGCGCTGAGTCATCATCATCAGAATCATTGCAAAGAGTCATCATCGTCAGAGTCATTGCGCAGAGTCATCATGACAGCCACTGCGTAGGGGCATCGCACAAGAGTCATTCAACGGAGTCATCACGAGAGTGATCGCGCAGTGTCATCATGAGAGTCATTGCCCAGAGTCATCATGAGAGTCATTGCACAGAATCATCATGAGAGTCATTGCACAGAATCATCATGAGAGTCATTGCGCAGAGTCATCGCAGCCATTGCATAGAGTTCTTGCACAGAGTCACCATTGCACAGAAGCATCATGAGTCATCACAGCCATTCCGTAGAGTCCTCACACCAGAGTCATTGCACAGAGTCATCATGACAGCCTTTGCATATATGAGTCATCACACACGAGTCATTCAGTCATCACGAGAGTTGAGGTCGGTGAAGCTGGTGTTGCAGACCACGTTGCCCGTGTTGCCGGCGACCTCCCTCACTCTCCACTCACTCTCCACTCACTCTCTTTTTTTTTCCGCGGGGCCTATGAGACATGTGCCGGGTCCGTTAACGGCTGTCGCGGGTAACGGCCCTTTACAAGGGCTAAGCCCAACGTTCCGAAATGTGACCTCGAGGAACCAAACTCCTGCAGGCCAAAGCTGTACAGGACAAACAAAGCCGAAGCCATCGAGTTTCACCCATGCAGATTCCTGAAAGAAACCGGACGTTCTATACAATCCAGTAAAGCCGAAAGTGCTAAAAGCGCAGCAGCCTTTGCATAATCCTGAACTGAAATCGCATCCACCACCGCCATCAGTGCTCCCACCTGAAGTAATGTAGCGCGAAACGCAGGTGCGGCCCTGCTTACGCCTGTAACCCAGCAGAAGGGAAACTTTTAAGGAAGAACCGAGTCCATTCATCACCTCGAAACGAAGCAACCGTAAGACCAGGCTCCGTTCCATCGAGAAATACGGAATCGAATGTATGCACATTGAACCTCGTAACATACCAAGAAAATCCAATGCGGAGTCCAGCATGAAACAAGAATTTGAATTTACCGCTGACGGAAGCGTATGTTTGCCGGTTTCGGTTTGGAACTATTCGGCGGTTGCAGTTTGGCGCGTTTCAGGCACTGTCCGGTCGCGCTGAGCAGGATACCACTTCCCAGAAACGCAGGAGCGACCCTGCTCACGCCAGTGACCCCGCAACGGGGACGTTCTCAAGAAGAACCAAGCACATCGAAGGAAAGCGCGCCCAAGGAAGCGTTCAGCGAGGCTGAGCCTCCCGTTGTCTCCTGCAAATTCCGACCATGCCAGCACTGAAATAAAAAGAAAGTGGCCGGCTGGAGTTGCGAAAGCATCTTTTTTGGGACTTGCAGGATATTTGGCCTTCACAGCAGAAGAGATAATGATCTAGTTATGATTTTAATACATGTTGCACCCCGGACAAGAAAAGCTCTTTTTTATCCTCTGGCGATCAACTATCGTGATAGAACAACTATCCGTCAGTACGCTCTATGGGTATGAACACGAAATCCTACTACTCAAAACTTGGCCGGACACAATGATCTTGTTATAATGACAGCAACATTGCACAACCTGTAATATCATCAGAAACAGTCTAGTCAGGCCATTGAGGATTTCAGACATGGATATTGCCAAGAAGACTGCTCAGCGGGCAGCTGGCTTCTTTGAGCAGCGAGGGAGTAGGAGCACGCCTTCGCTCGCCATGGCTGAACTGGTTCAAGCTTCTTGTCCTTCACAGCTTGGTTATGCCATTTTGCAAAGAGCAAGGCCTTGAATGCATGGCGTGATGGGCAAGACTCATTCAAGATGCGCGAGAAATTGAACCAGGAGAAGACCTGCTCAGCTGCGGATGTGTTCACCTTTGAAGCGACGATGGAGCTTGGTGACAATGTGTGGGTTTGCGAACAATTTTGATCACCGAAGCCTGCAGCGAATCTCAGTCCTTGCTGATGCATGCATAACAGACTACATGTTTCACACGAAGTACGGCTTCAACCGGAGCTCATCATGAACTCCCAAGTGTGTTGGATGCATATTTAAGCGCCCCGCCTCAGATTCTCCTGAATCCTGTAGGCTGAATCTGGATTTCTTCATGATAACCAGACTCAAAGTATCTGTACAAACATCATTGACCTGAAACAAGCACACTGTTCTTTTCACAGTGTTGCTCATCAACTCGCATGTGAAAACCGGATCTCGAAAGGATCCTGGCCTCCGAACTCATCGTCTCCGGAGTACCCCACCAGAAACTCCCGATGGAGCTTTACCACGCCCCTTGCCAAAGCTGTGACATGTTTGGCACACCTTGAATCCTGTTCGAATCTCGACTTCATGCGCAAGCCAGAGGTCAACGAGGTGATTGTCAACGCGCTGGACAAGGCCCAAGTACTTCTGCGTCGACTACTTCAGAAGACAGAAGTAATTCTAAGGTGTAATAAAGATGGATTGGAGAGATATGTAAAAAGCCAATTAAAGATTTTTGTACCAGTTGGTAAAGATATTAAGATTGTAACTCCTGTAAAATAAGCTCTTGTATCACTTTCTAAACCTACAGTATACATATGATGTCCCCAAACAAGACTTCCAAGAAGAGAAATAGATGACATGGCAAAGATCATTGATTGCTTAGCAAAGATTATTAACTGTAAAATCC